CCCCCACCACCAAAAAGGGGCTCAGCCATGGACACGAAGCAGGGTGGCTCCTGGTAGCCCAGTTGTGTCTGCGATGGTGGTGGCCGGTGGCCGGTGAGAATGTCTGCAAGGCCAAGTGGAAACAGTGAGAGGCATGAAGGGACCTTCCTGGAGAGGGGTGACAAGAGCTGTGGGGCATGCTGGGGGGAGCCAGACCCCATCATTGGCACTGCTGGAGACCTGCCAGTCCCACCTTCACCTTGTGGGGCCAGGGCAGCTCCCAGCTCCGCCAGCAGCTTTGGCACCCGGGTGGTGAAACTGAAATGTGGAGGGAACACGCAGCCCTGCCACATGCATGGGGACAGGAAAACCCACCTGGAGTGCCACCCAAGGGTGGGGACCCCCATCCCTGATACCCAGCTGGGCACTGTGTGCTCCAGCACTGCTCCCAGGAGAAAGTGTGGCCATCCTGCTCCTCCTGAAACAGCCCTGGGCAGCGGCAGGCAGCAGGACATGGGAACTGAGGGGCAGCCATGGCAGAGGGGCTCAGAAGAGCAGATCACAGTGTCCCTGAGCCATGGGGGACAGTCCCCTGGGGCCGTGGCTGGTGCTTGTCTGCCTGCCCTGGCACAGCTGTGCGTGCAGCCTGTGGCTAACCACATCCCATGGCCTTCCCGAAACCAGCCCCGTGACCCTGCCGCGACTCCCTCTCCCTTCCTCTCCCTTTCCCACAGCCCTGCTCCTTCCGCCAGCCCCGACACCACGGTGAAAGGGCTGGCCTGGCTCTGAGGGCAGAGAAATGCCTGTGACACGGGGTCCTGGGGCACATCAGCCCCACGCACACCTGGCTGGGTGCTGGCACCACCCTGGCTCAGACATCAGCAGCAGGAAGGTTTTCCCTGGATGAGGAGAGCAGGGTGGGCATGGGGCTGCTGGATGCTGCTCACAGCAGCAGGGCTGGCTGGGCTTGCAGGCAGCTGCCTGGCAATCCCTGGCACTGGCTCTGTGCCCCAGCAGAGCCTGGGGGACACAGGCCCTCATGTCCCCTTTGGGGAGCTCCCATCCTGCTGTGCCCATGGCTGCCCCCCAGCCCTGAGCTGCCAGCAGAGCCCGGCCAAGCCTGGTGTCTGCAGCCAGGCCACGAGCACCAGTGGAGCTGCAAAGGCTCTGCTCTCCCTCCAGGCTCTGGCACAGGCTGCTGTCCCAGGGTGCTCTGTTTATGGTCCCAATCAGTGGTCTGAGACCCTCTTGAATCTCAGAGGAGCAAACATGCCAGCAGAGAGGGATTCCAACAGTGCCATGTGCTGCCAGCTGAGGGTAACACTGGTGTGAGCCAGGGCAGTAGCACTGCTGGGCTGCCCTGCTCAGCCCTCAGGCTGCCCCATCCCCTCACCAGGGACACGGGGAGTGCCTGGGTGCCTGGCAGAGCCACCCTGCCCCTCCCCTGCCTCGCACTCGATGTGGGCCATGCTGCTGCCAGACAGGGACTCAGCCTCCCTCGGGCACAGCACCAGCTCCACATTGCCCTGTCCCTCCACTGTCCTGTGCCAGGATGTCCCCTGCCACCAGCACTGAAGCTCTGTGGGTATTTATAGGCATTTCTGGTGCCCAGCTCTGCAGATTCGATTCCTCTTGTGCCTCTCACTGCACAGCAGGGATGGATGGGGGATGCTGCCCAGCACGGCTGCTCC